CATATACTTTTCCATGTTATAAGGGATAGGATCAATATCATCCTCACATTCCATTGCACCAATTCCTTGCATAATTATGTGTCCATCATATCCTGATAAATTGTGAAAGATTACTGGGATATGCATTTCACGAGGTTTTATGGATAAGTCAAGATTTTATCCTTTATGTGCTGCACCTCGATACCTTCCTGTAATATGGCAGTGGTCTCTTACTTTATTTCCATCTAAGGGGTTGCGACATATCCAGCAGTTTATTGCATTATCATAACTTACTTACTCTTGGGTTGTTAATGGCATCATTTCCATTGGGTTTCTGAATTCATTGCGAATTGCTTCAGCCAGGACCCCGAATAATACTGATATAACTCACATTTGGGTTTGCGTAGAGTTTATATGAAATTATTTTTTAAACTAATAAATTGAATTTGCATAGATCAGCCTAATTTTAGATAACTCACAAATTATGTTTGCGTAGAATTAACTAAAATAGGAACTAAGAGTTTAGAGATGCGTAGTGTTGATCATTTTTTAACTGTAAATAAATATCGTCAACTCGTTATGTAAAAAATGTTTACATTTTATATTTTATATTCCGTTTGTTTAAATTATTTATCCAAAATTTTTTTAATTATTTCTGGGTTATTTTAATTATGTTAAACAATACGTATTAAATTAAATTCAATAAATTTATATCGTATTTATTCTAATTATGTTAAAATTATATCGTAATAATTGTTGTTTCCCACCCCCTAGCTTTTAATACGTCAATACATTGCGGGTTGTTCTTATAAAAGATAATGAATTACTTGTATTATTACAATAAAGGTAAATTTTCATATTATATAGAAAGAATTTATATCAATTACTTAGTAATTCAATTTTAATTCCCGTAAGTTTCCATCTTACATCACTTGTATTTTTGATACACATTTTTTTTTATCTAAAATACTAAAATTTATATTTTATAATACTGAATTATGACAGGTTGGAAATATTCAAAAGAGCGTTTAAAAAAGCATCCATATGTTGCCAAAGTATTACGTGCAAAAAAAGTTATTTGTATATGTGGAGCAGTGATTAAACTTTCAAGAAAATGGGATGAAGATTATATTAACCGTCATGCTAGAAGTAAAGGATGTACACGAGTTGAAGGTCAAAAAACATTATATAATTATTTTGATATTAATAAAAAATATGATAATTCTAATGATTCCGATGAAGAATGAGAAGATTGGAGTAGTGAAGTTGAGGACGCAATGGATGATGATGATATTATTGGTGTTGACGAGCGTGATGATGAGCATGACGAAGATAACAATTCTATTGATCTTGATTTTAATGAAAACATTGATTTAACTTCAAATAAAAGAAGAATTTGTAGTGGGCTTCGTTCTGCTAAAATTTCAGAATATATTAATCGTACTCCTGCAAATTTTGGTGGTTCTCGTCGTGTAGAAATAATTGCAAAAGAAATATGGAGGAATAGATTTAAAAAGGGATTTTCTAGAAAGAAACTTAATTTAAAAGAAAAAAGAATTCTCAATCATCAAATTTATGCTGAAAGTCAATGGTTTATTGACCGTCAAAGTAATTATATTATTTTTATATTTTTATATTATTTGCTAGTTTATTTATTTTGTTATATTAAAACTTGCATATTTTAGGTGATTCTGTACGTGCTAAAGAATGTAACGGATATGTTAATGAAAATTGTCATAATAAAATCTGTTGTACAGCATGTTTATCATTGCGTTCAAATACTTTATTGGCAAATCGAATTGCTATACCAACACCAAAATCTCAAAATATAAAACATACTCCTTTATTTTGGTTTGAAAATGATCCTATGAAAAAATATTTACAAAATGTTGATTTACTTCAGATTTGGAATATTATCAAAGGAGACGAGTTATCTCATACTAATTCAACTGTATGGCTTACTTTAGCTGATAAAGCAATGAAAGGTGCTTTTAACGATAAACCTGTATTTACTGGACTATGTCACATAATGGTCCAAGCATATTTACGAAAAGAAAAAGACATGGGAAAACAAAATTCTAAATATTCAGAGGAATTCACTAATTTTCTTGTAATTTTAGCTAGTTTTAGTAATCGAGCTTTGGATCTTTTTCGGCAAAATTTGGAAGGAAGAAGTATTCAAAATATAAGGTATTTTATACATTTAATTAATAAGCTTATACTTTAATTTATATTAATAATAAATTTTATTTTAATAAGACGATTAAGAAAGAATGAAATTGATTGTCTTACTGACCCAGAGCTTTGTTATGAGAATGTTGCAAGATTTAAACGATTAATAGATACTTTGCGTTACGATGGTCCTATCACTGCAATGACTGATAATACGAAATTAAAATCTGGTCTTTATTATTCATCACAATTCGGCTGCATTATTGGATCAACATTAAATTATAATGAAACAAAAATCACTAATTATGATCAAATTCCTCAAGTAATTAATAAAATCAAAAGTGAAAAAGCATTCGCAAGTAGTGTTCGAACATATATTTTACAAGTGAGTTAAATTATATATTAGCATTAATTATTTATATTATTTATTAATTTATTAATTATATATTTTATTTAAATATTTAGATTCCACTGCCTAAATTTCCTCCGGTGGTAATTGCATTAATTCCAAATAATGGTTCAGATAAAACATCTACAATTGCTGATTTTCACCGGGAACTTTTAATTAATATCGCACCTCAATTAAATTTGCACATTTTAAGTATTGGGTCTGATGGTGCGCTAGTTGAATTTCAAGCCCAAACAATTATTCAAAGTATGGCAACAAACGAAAGATTACAAATGATTGATACAAGGTTTGAGGTAACTTTTAGTTGTCCAATTTTACCATCAATCGGACCTGTTGTAAGAGTACAGGATCCGAAACATGCTAAAAAAACTTGCCGAAATATAATTATGTCTGGTGCAAGAGTTTTATCACTTGGAAGATCAACTGCACGGTTTGACCATTTTTTACATATTTCTCAACGTCCGGATTCCATAATGTACAAACAAGATGTTGTGAAACTTGATCGTCAGGATGATGGTGCTGCGTATAGAGCTTTCTGCTCTTCAAATTTAAGAAATGTGTATTTGCAACATTTGGAAAATCCCGAAGATGAGGAGATGTGTAGATTTTTTGTTTTATTGTTTATTTTCGGTAAATTTTATTCTATTGTTATTATTTTAGTCAGAAATATATACTAATTAAAAATTCATTATTATTAAGGTGAATTAATTGATTGCTATCTTAATCGACAAATCAGTCCATTAGAACGTATTAAAATGGCTATGACATTTTTTTTTCTTCGTTTTTGGTGCCAACATATATTGAATTTATCAGAAAATTATCCTGATTTCATTAGTTTAAAAAAGAATTTTTTAGCTGATCAAAGCTATTCTATTCTTACATCACTAGCAGAATCAATGATTCTTTTGATAAAAGCTCACTGTGAATATTATTCATCAGTTCCTTTACTTCCATGGATGCATGGATCTGAAGCTGTTGAGCATTTTTTTGGTATTGCTCGTCAAATAAATTCAGACTTTACTTACGCTGAACTGATTCATCTGATTCCAAAAATTGCTCAATGTTCTAAGGCACTAAGAAATAATAATCTTATATACGAAAAAGAAAAATCAGTACGTGAAGGTATAATAAATCTACAAGACATAGTGTAATTTAATTTTACCTTTACTTAAAATTCAATGACTAATGTAAAATTTTCATAATATTTAGGATACCATTACGATTATAATAATATGGATCTAAATATTGAACAACTCAATATTTTGCGTGATTGGCCAACGGACTCTACCATACGTGACTATTTCAAAGATTCTTTTAGTGTTGCGATGGAATTATGTGAGGCGTTAGGTATAGATGTTCCATCAGAGAATAATTTAAACTTAACCTATGTGGAACCGATAATTTTAATTCAAAATCAGGTTGATAATGATATTTCAATGGATAATGAAATTATTAATGAATTACCGGTAGATGAAGATCCACTTTTAAAAGAAAATGATATTTCTACAGCTATTGAGATAGCTTTAAAACAGACCGGGTTTCTTTCTTTATCAGATGATGATATAGTTAAATTAGATGTGGGAGATCTTGCTAAACAAGTGGATGTGATAGTACAAAATACTCGTTCTAATTTAACTCCAGTAAATAATGGTACGTAACTGTCAAAAAACTTGTGTATAAATTATATTTGTTTATTTATTAAATAGGGAATTATAAATTCTATTTATTCAGATGATGTTAATTTAAGTATTCAGTATACTTTAACAGATGGCCAATTAAATTTGGTTGAAATGATAGAAATTCGTGTTAAACATGAAGCTTACTCTTCAAAAAAGTTGGAACGTAAATATCGTGGTGAACAAATTGCAAATAATAGCGATCCAGGAATAATAAATCCGAATAAAGCAAGTCATATGGTTGCACATCTTATTAATAATGAAAATCCAGAAACACGATTTGTTACACAGCGTGAAAAACGTTGGATGATAAATAGAAAAACCATGGCAACAAAGCTTGTTCAACAACATAGAGAAGACTTGGCAAAAAATAAAAATAAGAAAAAACGAAACGTTAATTCAGTTATTTGTGAAAGTAAGTTTTATATAATAAATAATTTAAAATCTATATTATTTTTTAAAATATATATTTTTTAATTTAAACTTTATTTAATTTTCACAGTTCCGAATATTGACTGTGCCAATGTTAATACTGATAATCCCTTATCAAATAATCAATTTGTTATTGCAATTTTCGGTTTAATACTTTGTATTGCACGCGTCATAGCAATGTATTATGAGGTATATAATTATCATTCTTATCATGTAGGAGAGGTAACGGATCTTGATAGTTTATCGTATATTACACTTCATGTATTTTTACCAATTCATTATAACATTTTTTCCGGTCTAACTAATGAAAAATCAAAGATTTTTACGCACCATCAGCCTGATAATATAGTATATCATTTAGCAAATATAGATGTTATTGTGACCGAAAGTTCTTTAAGTTTGAAAGGCTTTGGAAAGATTATATATAATTACTTTAATCGCGATGATATAAAGGAGGCAATAGTTAAAGGGTAGAAAAAATATCATTGAAATTTATATGTAATATGATTTAAATTGGTGATAAATTAAATATAATAAAATTTAAATGGTTTATTGTCCTTATAACTCACATTTTAAATTTGCGTATTTTAAGCAATTTTTTAACTAAGATTTAAGTTTGCGTAGCGTTACTATGAAAAAAAAGTTGCGTAAAGTTAATAGTAAACGCATGCCGATCATTTGTGAGTTATATTAGTATTATTCGGGGTCCTACTTGCATGCGGCGTTTCCAGTTCTTGAATTCATATATATCATTTCCTTTCTTTACTGATGGCATTCGGTCTGCTTGTGGGGTTTTCTTTAATCCTCGACATATTGCTACATGTTTGTCATGGATTTCTTGTTGATGTGTGAAGTGGGAGATACACCATCGGCAGACAAATGTTGCATGTCCATCTTTTGTACTTTTATTTACTAAACGGCTCATATTCTTAATCCAGCAATAGTGCTGCTTTTCCCCGTTACTGATAAGTACTAAATCTATTATTTTACGGCCCTCTGCATCATCCCTATCNCCTGCATCAATTCGCCATAAGTGTTGTGGATTACTACATTCTTGTGCTCTACATTTTTCTGCACCTAGGTTGGATGCTAATTTGTCGAGACTTGATTTCATGAATTGTAAGCTATCTATAAATCGGAGGGAACCTAACTTGAATGCCATATACTTTTCCATGTTATAAGGGATAGGATCAATATCATCCTCACATTCCATTGCACCAATTCCTTGCATAATTATGTGTCCATCATATCCTGATAAATTGTGAAAGATTACTGGGATATGCATTTCACGAGGTTTTATGGATAAGTCAAGATTACATCCTCTATGTGCTGCACCTCGATACCTTCCTGTAATATGGCAGTGGTCTCTTACTTTATTTCCATCTAAGGGGTTACGACATATCCAGCAGTTTATTGCATTATCATAACTTGCTTGCTCTTGGGTTGTTAACGGCATCATTTCCATTGGGTTTCTGAATTCATTACGGATTGCTTCAGCCTCATTTAGCATTTCGATTACAAATTTTTGTGCTTCATTTTCTCCTGTAAATATCTTCTGTGATTCACTTACACCATCATATCTTACCTTAATATACGAGTATGAGCAGGGGATTTGCTCTTGTACTTTCTTGGTTTTTTTATCTTTGTCTTCATCTGTGGGTGGTATGTCCATTACTAGGGCTTCAAAGTCTGCAACAAAGTAATATGGGACTTGCATGCGGCGTTTCCAGTTTTTGAATTCATATATATCATTTCCTTTCTTTACTGATGGCATTCGGTCTGCTTGTGGGGTTTTCTTTAATCCTCGACATATTGCTACATGTTTGTCATGGATTTCTTGTTGATGTGTTAAGTGGGAGATACACCATCGGCAGACTAATATTGCATGTTCATTTTTTGTACGTTTATTTACTAAACGGCTCATATTCTTAATCCAGCAATAGTGCTGCTTTTCCCCGTTACTGATAAGTACTAAATCTATTATTTTACGGCCCTCTGCATCATCCCTATCGGTAACATATATTGGACATAGGCGGTGGTCACGCCATTCACAGATGCAGAGGGCAATAGTTGGGTTCTGTCGCTCAAATCTTCTTAGAATTACCTCATCAGCTTGTACTGGAAATTCGATACCTTCAAAGTTTAACTCATTTACATACTCCTTATACTTGGAAATTCTTTCTGCATTCTTTTCTACTGGATGTAATGCTGCTAGGATTGCCCACTGGAAGCATTTGTCATCATCATTAGCTGGATTTACTACTCCCTTTTTCGTGGCAAGATCTTTTGGGAGTGGTATATGTCCTGCTCCTGTGGGTGGTTGGAATTGCGAGATTTCTATAAATATTTTTTCTACACGATAGAATTCCCAACCTGATCCGTAATTTACATAGTCTTCTACTTTCTGCATGATTCTTGCTAATGCAAAGTTAAATGTACCATTAATATCTGTTGATGGTAGGATTGGCATATTGCGAGTTTTAAATGGTATTTTATATCTGTAGATATACTCTACTCCATCATCTTCACTAAAGTTACCATCTCCGAATAATCCCTCAAGGTAAGAATCTAAACGTCTTATTGTAGCAAATATTCCAATTCTTACTTTTATTGATCCCAATCGATTTCTTTCATCCTGAAGAATATTCTGGATTGTTTGACTGTGTGCTGTAAGAAATGAAGCATAGTCATGCTCTCCAGGTGTTCCTATAGCAATATCAGCTGTAAAGTTTGAGTCTGTTAACTCCTTTCCTATACGTACCTGATCACGACGTTCAAAGACTACCTCATAATGTGTGTCTGGTTCAATTTGCATCATGCGGGTTATCTCTTCATTGGTTACCGCCGCTTGTGCTTCACGGATTTGGCGGATCTCATCCTCATATTCCTGCAATTTTGCATTTGAGCGGGGATATAGGATGGATTTGACAGGTACCTGTTTGAGTTCAGCTAAAACTGATCGGATGACTTGTCTGTGTTGGGCACTTCTTGCTTGATGTGTTGACATCTTGTATACTTTTTAGATCCCTCTTTTATTCAATTACATTTTTTCTGAAAATAAAATTAATTATTCGCCTACCCTATAAGGATAAAAAAAGATGAAGACGGGTTAATATCGCCTTCTAAAATTTATCTGGATATAATCTATTCCTCGTCATCTGAGTCATCATCATCCGAGTCACCGAACGCATCCTCATCAGGAGTATCCCCATCCTTAAATAACTCAAAATTGCGCATCATTCGGATGTATTCTCCCTTATTAGTTTCTTCCGATATAAAACTACAATGGAGAATAGCTTGTTCTATGACTACCATTTCTTCGAATCTGGTATACTTTTCTTGACTAATTTTAGTTGATTCATCGGAAAGTTTATCAAAATTTATACCACCATCTGCACAATCTCGCCAGAAAGCCCTTTCAGCTTTCTTACATATATTTGCCACCTGTTCGTATGTCTTCTCGGCTTGTATGCGCCGCTTCCAGAGTACTCGTTCAGCTTCGGCTCTCCAGATTGGATTAACTTCTAGAAGATGCGGTCCAAAATTGTTACTTGGAATGTATTCCAGGATATGGCCTACAAGTTTGGGGATTGTTAATACTGCGTGCGGGGTTTGACAGCTTTTTAGGATTTCCCTATTGATAGCCATAAGATCGGAGACTGTGCAGCCGAAGATTGATGCCAACTTTTCCGCGGTATATGCCATGTTATGTGCTATTTATCTGTATAGTTACTTGGTACCTACCTTTTATTCAATTACATTTTTTCTCGGTATAAGGGTAATTGCTTGCCTTGCTATTCCGCTCTATTGACCCCATGGCTGGTTTCCTGGATGGGTTAATAT